ATTGTTATATCCAGCAGCTAGCGTGTCAAGTTGCAGACATAAGAATGAGTCAGATTTTGATTTTACCAATACGCAAACAAAATGCGAAGGCATTACAAAAACGCTACAACATGATAACGTTGCCAGCGGTATATATGTATATAGCGTTGAAACAGAATGTTGTACCAATGCAACTGTATTTATAACCCAGTGGTATGTATATAGCGTTGAAATAGAATGTTGTACCAATGCAACTGTATTTATAACCACATATATAAAGCCCTTCGTTGATATATTGCAGTGTTAACGATCCATATGAACAACATACATACGTTATGTAGATACATAGCCTGTACATATGTACATTTATATTAGCAGCTAGGGCAGATGATGCAGAACTTCTCACAGCTAAAGATTTATTATGTTACTTTTTGCAGGCGATACTTCAGGGTTGAAGTACGGTACTGCCAGTATTGAACTACTGATTACTGAGCTAAGTAGTTCAATCGGTTCGAGTCTGGGCCCCAGTCTGTCAACCCTTATACTATAGCCCCGGGGAGACTCGTGGTTGTGGCTGAAAATTCTGTAGAGTCCTACGCGGTGCGCAAGAAGACAATCATGTGCGACAGAACGACTTATGAAGAATTTAAAACCAAAATTATAGTCTCAAAAGAAAAAGAAGGGTAGCAGAATCACCATCAAGCAGTATCGTAGAGGTATGTTTCAGCTCCTATACGACGAACTGCACCGTTTGGTAGGGTGCATCGGAGACTAAACGATATGCGCGTTTACCCTGAGTTAGCGTAGCCGTATAGTTGGGAATTTACGACAATCTTGTAGCCATAAAGGCTTCATCATCCGCTGAAAAATCGCTGGTGCGGGTTCGACCATAACGGCTGCATATGCGGGTCCATTTCACGCACGCACAGTTGAGTTCGTACTGCAAACAAATGGCCGCGGCGTAGGTTCTGAACGCGAAGGTGAGTGTCTGGCGTTCGTCATCAGTGATCGTGCTGGCATCATGGAGTCATGGAACATAAAATAGGCGTAGATAGAATTAGCGGTCGTGCCTCTGGAATGCATCTTGTCACAGCCCACAATGAAACATAAGCCTTAAGGGTTCTTGATATGAACCCGATATTCTTTGTTGATCGCGGTGTCTTGGATATAGCGCATCACTGGAGCCACGTGAGCTAGCACCTACCGCCGGCCCACAATCCTTCGCGAATTTGTGAGGAGGGTCTGCCGTCCGCGTGTAGAGAACTTGTCGGCCAATACCAATCATTGGACAGTCGATTCCGTCCACAACCGCCGCCTACTTCTGGGCCTGCTTCGCCTTCTCTCTGTAGATCGCGGTCGAACGGCGTGGCCTGAACCGAGGCGACGAAACCGGAGGCGCCAGCGTCATCATTCAGGATGGCCGAAATCTCAGTATCCGAGGAGTGCGGATAAACCCGCCGCGTGAAAAAGGTGCACTGGGTTGAGTCAATCACCGTTGACCACGAGGCGTTATAGTTCGCAAAGATGATGGGGATCTCTGTGCGCCATGTGTGTTGGAGGCCGAAAGACAGACATCGCTTGGTTCAGTAAATTAAGGTACGTAAGAAGACCTCAATTCTATCGTTGCCCGCGTGCTCACCGGTAGTGACATAGTGTTGTCACACATGTCAGCAGTTTGCCACCAAACCCTCCAAGGAGCGCGGACTTCTTCAGCAACCCATTCCATGCATTTCCATGCCAACTTCGTCACGTTCTCAGAAGTCACCGAAGGCAAAGGCCTGGTCCTTCGGCCGGTATGTGAGACCTCCGATAAGGTGTTCTTGCACACAGCTTCCTTCAAATCCTGGCACACAAAGTGTCGAATTTGTTCGTCACAGATAGTGATCCACGGAACCAAACACATCGGCGGCGATGCCTGAGCAACAGGGCGCGCTGGTGGTTGTGGCAAGAGGTCTAACGCCATTCTCCCACGCATCCGGGCCATCTCGCGCCACATGCATTGCATTTGCTCGTGCGCACGGGTTGTCTTTGAACGTTCATACTCGTCTCTCTCTTGTTGTTCCTTGCGCCGAAGTTCTTTGTGCGGCTCTATCGGAAGTACCGGTAAACATTGTGTACGGCTAGAGTGGCCAACACTCACATGTCGCCCTCCTGCGTGGATGGTCCGTCAAGGGGGTGGTCGCCCGCAGCTGCCCTGGAACCTCGGTCAAGCAAGCGGGTGGTCTCCGTTGGCATAAATTCATGGTAGCTGTCCCTCGTGAGAGTGTTCCGCAAGTCCTCATGGTCTCTGGCTGGGGTTGGGTTAGTCCGTGGGCGTTGGGTACGGAAAGGGCTTAAGTCCCATGGTCGTGGCTGGGGGGGATCCAGTCCAGCTGGGGCAATCGTGCAGACGTCGGTATCGGCTGGGATTGGTATGGCGAATGCATTCTGAAGAATACTCATTCGTATTCCAAAACCTGGTGTTTCAGCAGGGACTCGGTTCGGGCGGATCTCCTGGTCCAGACTATAAATGACACTCTTAACTGCTAGTTTCGACACTTCACTTAGCAAGGCGCGCTTAGCCTTCAGAATGTACACAGAGTCAGTCCGAAGGCGGGTTGAGAAGCCAATCAGGTCGGGAGGAAACGGCATGGTGAGGAAGAAACCCGCCGGGCCATAAGTGGCAACCAGGTACTGAATGATCTCCACCACCGTCACATCGGCCTCCATGATGACTTCGAGAATAAGTCAAGAGGAGGTTCACCCGGGCGGAGAAATCCGACGTCGTTTCCAGCGCAGGGTACTCGCGTACACTGTCCTAAACCCTAAAAACCCTAAAACCCTCATCTCGATTGATGTCCATCGACATTTTACTTCTGTCTATTTAGTTCAATCAAATTAAACATAGTCACTCGTTGTAGTAACGAAACTAACGTCTGTCAAACTTAATAGTATTGGCTGCTAGGGCAGATGATTCAGCACTTCTTAAAACGAAGTATTCATTAAGTTACTTTCTGCAGACGATACTTCCAAGGTTGAAGTACTGTACTGCCAGTATTGGACTACTTTTTACTGAGCTAAGTAGTTCAATCGGTTCACTTCGCTCTGGGGGTCCATGTATGAGCCGGGGATTACGGGCCGTGGGTCCGGGTGCATGCACCAAGGTGTAGAACCTGGGGCCCATTCTGTCCACCCTTATTCTAATGTTTCTTTTTGTTCTGCTTCACAACCTTCTGAAATAGAAACTCTGTCGGAACAGGTTATTTAAAACTTTCTCCTCGATATATAAACCTAATAACTCAGGTTTGTTTGATTTCCGAAGGCTATGATTTATTGAAATTCCATGTTTGTTTATGGCTGGAGAAAAAGAGGCCCTTGGCGGTGCCAGTACCAAGCGCGACTTTAATGGCCGACTAAATGTCGACATGAAGATGGGTGGGATGGGGAACCGTGTGTCCGAAAGCGTTGAGGATATTGCGGACCCATGCAATGTCACGGGTGATTTCAGATGCCGCGATATATTCGGCTTCCGTAGAGCTTATACTAACAGTCTTTTGTTTCTGACTCCGCCAGTGTACAGGTGCGTTGTTCAGAGTAATGAATGCCAGTCGATTTGCGGGTGAGGGGGTAAGAGCCTCAATCGGAGTCCGTGTATGCCGTGAGGTGATGGCTGATATCGAGCTTATCCGGGGCGGGGGTATAGGTAAGAGCCAGGGTTTTTGTGGTGACAAGGTAGTGTAAAATGCGGGTAAGTGCGGCGTAGTGTGGGATGAGGGGGCAACGCTAAAGGCCGCCAGTTGATTAAGGACATACGCGATGTCTGGAGACGACGGTATTTACCGTGGTTAATGGTGCCGGTTAGTTTTCCAGAGTGTGTCCCGAGCTGGGGGGGGCGCTTCGGGGACGAGTCCGTGGCTGCAAATGCTATGGCCATGCGTTCGATGTAAGCGTCCTGTAGGATAGCAATAATACCCATGGTATTTTGTACAATGCGAAGCCCGACGAGATGTTGAGCTAAACCAATATTCTTCATACTGTAGATGAGAGAGAGAGCTGAGAAGAGCCATTGGGCATCACCAGATCCCCGGATGACAGCAGGCACTATCTCATCACCATATATAATAGAACAAAGTCGCTAAATGTACATTCAAAATATGGAAAAGTCACTAAATGTACATTCACCCATTTTGTCGATGAAAACGTACTGAAATATTCATCAAATATGTACAAATGTACATTTAGCGACAATTCCAGTTTTTTATGTACATCTAGCGACTTTATCGTGCAAAATTTGTTTAAATTTAAATTAAAGAGCCTTCGGCTATATCAATTTTTGACGAATAAATTTGTTGAGGGAGGTTATGTTGTCTTCTATTATTTGTTGTTTGTATATGCTACTTCCTTCAAGCCTATCTCATTACCTAGTGCGCAATTTACGTGGTCGATGATGCTCTTTTACAGGATCATATGATAATTATATTTCCATCTTACTATATAAATCAGCTATAGCAGGAGTTGGCATACTATCTAATATAATATCCGTAGTGTTACTTCATGCATTGTAACAATCGCCAGGTTTCAATGTTCATTCCTTTGATTCCACGAAATCAAAATTTCAGACACATGTGCTGCTCCCTTTATAAACATACACAGCCTGCACAGCATGTAACTCGCTTGATTTGGGTACATCTCATCTGTGTATTTGAAATAACGTATAGAGCATGAAAGGATAGTATAC